AAAAAAAAAAAAAAATCAACGTATTAGAGATATATCTCAGTAGGCTAGCATGCATAAGGCCCTTGGTTCAATCCCCATACCATAAAAAACCAAAACCAAAATAAAAAAAGTAACACATGGGAATCAGAGTAGTGGTTGAGGGGAGTATTTGAGTAAAGACAAAATATGGGAGAATGTTTGTGATGACAAACTAGTTCTATAGAGTAGTACAGTAATTCCCCTTTACCTATGGTGACATTTTCTGAGGTTTCATTTACCCACAACCCTAATCTGAAAATCTTTTTAGGAACTTCCAGAAATAAACAATTCATGAGCTTTATATTGCTTGCTATTCTGAATAGTGTGGGGAAGCATCATGCTCTCCACTCTACTCTTCTCCAGATGTGAATCACCCCTTTGTCTAACATGTCCATACTGCAGATGCTACTGCTCATTAGTCACTTTGCAGTGGTATTATCAGCCTTGTGTTCAAGTAACCCTTATTTCATTTAATAGTGTCCCCCCAAAAACCCCAAGAGTAATAATGCTGGAAATTTACAGAGACTACTGAGAATAAAGTGTCTCCTTTAAGTGAAAAGATGAAAGTATAATAATCTCTTCTAAGAGATACAGACCATGCTTTCATAATTTTTACTATGGTATTCTGTTGTAATTATTCTCTATTGTATTATTTATTGGTGTTAATCTCTTATGCCTAAACTAAACTTCTTAGCTATGCATATCAAGGAAAAGCTATTTGGAGGTTTAGGTAGAACTTGCAGGTCAGACACTGACTGGAGGTTTTAGAACCTATTTCTCTCTCACCTTGTTTGTGTGGTGGTTAGATGACACAACTTTAAAGGAATATACACATTATAATTATTTATTTATTTTTTATTTTTGGTACTGGGAATTGAGCTCAGGACTTTATACTTGCGAAGCAGGCACTGTACCACTGAGCTATATCCCCAGCCCCTATCATTATTTTGTTTTGTTTTATTTTGAGACAGGGTCTATGTAGTTCAGGCTGGCCTTGAACTTACTATGTAACCTAGGCTGAGCATGAACTCACAAGGATCTTTCTACTTTAGCTTCCTGAATACTAGAATTACAGGTGTGGGTCACTAGGCTCAGTCACATTATTTTGGTACAAGGTCTCACTATGCAGCTCCAAGTCAGTGATACTCCTGTCTCAGCCTCCCCAGCACTGGGATTACAGATGTGTGCCACCATGCCTGGTTTTGGTGGCTGGCATAGCATATAGTACCAAGAATTAAACCCGGGTCCTTGCACTTGCCAGGCAGGCACTCAGACCGCTAAGCTATCTCCCCGGCCACTCAGTCACATTATTTTAGTATCAATTTCTTGGTTTTGATATTGTATGATATAAACTGTAACCAACTGGAAAATTATGTAAAGGATCTCCCTGTACTGTACATGTAGGGATTTTTGAGTTGAGAGGACTAAAATCAAGGCCTCACACTTGTTAGACAAGTGCTCTGCTATCTAGCCCTTTTAATTTTGAGACAGAGTCTTGCTTAAATTCCCCCTGCCAAAAAGAATTTCCCAGAAGGAGTTGAATTTGTGATCATACAGTCTCAGTCTTCTACGTAGCTCAGATTATAGGTATATTCCACTATGCTATATGTACTATTTTTGCAACCTTCTGTGAATTCATAATTATTTCAAACCAGTAAATTTAAAAATTTACTTCTTTTTTAGGAAATTATGGTGGTATATGTTCCATCAAGATTGAACTGGGTGGGCTATGGAGATAGCTGAGCAGCTTAAGTGCCTGCCTGGCAAGCACGAGGTCCTGAGTTCAATTTACAGTACTGCAAAAAACAAAAAACAAAACAAACCAACATTAAACTGGGCATGGTGTAATCCCAGTACTCGGAAGGCTGAGGCAGGAGGATCATCATGAGTTTGAGGCCAGCCTGGGCTACACAGTGAGTTCAAGATCAGCCTAAACTGCCTAACAACACTCACTTAAAAAAAAAAATAACAAACCCCAAAGATGTTAGGGTAGTTGGGAATAGTGGTGCACATATGTAATTCAAGTATTCCAGGAGGCTGAGACAGGAGGACTGGTTCAAACCTGTACTGGGCAACTTAATGAAATACTGACTTAAATAAAAATACAGTGGGGAATATAACTCAGTGAAAAGGCTATGGGTTCAGCTCCCAGAACTCCCTCTCCAAAAAGTAAGAGATAAAGTAATTTTTAAAGGGTTAAGGATATAGCTGAATATGAAGGCATTGTTCAATCCCTAGAACAATGAAAAAGAGAGATACAGAGAGGGAGGAATAGACAGAGAAAGACTTTAGGGTAAATCAGAAGAGAGAAAACTAAGGGAAGATGGGGAAGGAAGATTAAGCGGAAAGGTTTAGCTTTGTAGAACAATCCTTTTATGCAGCTATTGGACAGAGTGATCATATTTGGTTAAACGTTCAAAGAAATTTTTTTTTCTAGAAAAATGACTACTATTTATAATCCAAAAATCTCTGAAGCTGTAAACAGGCGGATCACTAGGAGTCTGATGTAGTAGTGAGACCCTGAACACCCTGTAGATCCTTCCCTAAAATAAAAAAATTAAAAAAAAAATCTCTGGGAGGTATGGACTTGAGTATCTTTTTTTTTAATATATTTATTTATTTATTTATTTATTTATTTATTTTTTTGTGTGTGTGTGGCCAGCTCGGCCCACCAGGGGGCGGGACTGGCTGGCATGTGGTGCTGGGGGATTGAACTGCGGTCCCTGTGCTTTGCTTAGCTTAGCTTGTTCGAAGTAGGTGCCTTAGACCACTGAGCCATCTCACCAGCCCCTGGACTTGAGTATCTTAAGTCAGCTTAATAATTGGAGAAGATTTGTTATTACTAGCCTGAAAAAAAAGACAAAAATTAAAAAAAAATTAAAACCTAAATGGAATGAACATTGACATTATACTGAAGATAACATTTATATACAGTATTTTATGATTCTGCATAAAGTTAATTTTAGATGTGTCAAATCAACTGAATTGAGTTAAAGTGTCATGTTGGCCATGTTCACCATAAATTGCTGACCCTCATAATTCCTCTATCAGAGGCTTTCAGAACACTGCCTCCAGGCTAAGACTTCTGGATCTTGCAAGTGGCTAGCAGAGTAGAGTGGATTTACTTACTGACATGTCCATTCCATGAAGTCTTCGTGATTCCTGAACCATTACAGTCTCTAGTATTTTGTAATACAAAATTTCTGCTAACTTTAGTCTGTTTACAGCGAAGTCTAAAAGGAAATACAGAAGAAGCATGTGCTATTAAATTCTAGTAAGGACTCAAGAACAAAACTTAAATAAAATTAAATCTAGTACATGAGGAGATGGGATCCAGCTCAGCAACAGAGTAGTGCTTGCCTAACAGGAGTGATGATCTGGGCCTGATCCATATATGGTGAAAAAGTAAAGAGCAGAACAGCTTGAATTTCTAGTTTTGGGGACAATTTATTTATACTTTTATCCTGTACCAACTTCAGTTTTGTCTTCTTACCTATGTGAGATCCTGGCTGCTCATCTGTTGATTGAGTATAGTGTTGGCAGAAAGTTTCTCCAATTCTTTTCACTATTTTCATAATGTTTTCCATAGGATTCCGCATACAAGATCTACAAAATACAAGAAGAGCCTAGTTATTAGGAAAATAACTCAGGCTACCAACATTTTTCCTTTTGAGAATTAATTTGGGTTTTCTTGGTCAAAGTTCTATTGTCTGTTGCAAACCTACAAATGTAAGTAGAATTTTACATATGTAACACAAAACATACAGATATAAATTTCACATAAAATGGTATTTCAAATTTTAAACAACTTGTTTTTATGAATTTGACTACTTTATGTATCTCTTATATAAATGGAATCATGTAATATATCTTTTTGTCATTTACTTGTTTCACTTAGCATAATGTACTACAAGTTCATTCACACTGTAGCATATAAGATTTCCATGGAACCACGCATGGTGGTGCACTCCTGTAATCCCAGCACTCAGGAGGCTGAGACAGGAAGATCGCTGAGAGTTTGAGACCGGTCTGGGGGCTACAAAAGTGAGCATAGCGAGACCCTGTCTCAGAAAAAGTAATAAAATAAATAATATTCTAATATACACACACATTAGTGGTGGCAAACCTATGGCATGCATGCCACAGTGGGAATGCAGAGGCCTCTCTGTAGGCACATGAGCCAAGTAGCCCCAGCACTTGAAAGGGGGCAGCTGAAATATTTTCCAAATAAAAAACATTTAGAAAATTCTACAACATTTGTAGATCATCCTACAAGCCATCAGGAAATCTACAAGGAATTTTCTAGTATTGTAGTGGCTACAAAGGATAATTTTAGTAACAGATTTCTACAGTTTTGTGAGAAGGAAACAACTTTATTTTCTTCTCCAAATAAAGCCAGATTTGAAGAATTTGATCTTTCTTGCTTACAGTAAAGTATTTTGGAAATCTGGAAGTGGAGATATTGGAATTTCACAAAAGTTCTATCTGGAAAAACAAATTCTATGACCCACATTCCATACTTGGGAAGACAGAGAAGATAGTGTGAAGGGATGACAAAAGATAACACAGTTGATAGTTCTGAAAACGAGATCCTTAAAGTGTGGATTTCTCTGCCAATAATTTTAATTCAATGAAAGCACTTGGGGTTGCTTTTCTTACTTTGTTTGGATCATCATATGCCTATGAGGAGCTTTTTCAGCTTTGAATTATATGATATCTGATACAAGAAAAAAGACTAAGAGATGATCTGAGCACTGCATGTGCTGCTCTCAAACAAAGTATGAACCAAGGTTTGACAAATTACCAGCATGTTAAAGATCACGTTAACTGCAAAAACACAACGAATACAAAATTTAACTTTTTTTTTTCAAAACTTTATTGATATTAACTTTTTTTAAAAACGTATTTAGTACAGGGTCTACAGTCTCACTACAGATTGGACTCATAGTGATCCTCCTGTTTTCAGCCTCCCAAGTACTGGGATTACAGGCTCGCACCACCATGCCTAGTCTTAACTTTTCAATAAAAAGCTATTTGTATCACTGAAAACTGTTATTATGTTTTTAATTCAAGATAAAAGATGCTATGGTATGAGTTGCTTTTTCTAAACTAAAACCTCAGCATTCAGGTTTAATTGCAGTGTTGGCACCTTGGGATAAGTAAGTTGGTTTGGGGTCATAATTTGGGAGCTTGTTCCCTAAAAGGTTCACTACCACTAGTATGCATATATTGGTATTTTATTCATCCACTCATGAACATTTTATTTGCTGTACATTTTGGCTATTGTAAATAATGTTGCAGGCCTGGGGAAATAGTTTGGCAGTCTAAGCACCTGCCTGGCAAGCACAAGGACCTGATTTTGATCCCTGGTACCAAGGGTGTGCTATGACAGTCACTGAAACTGGGTGTGGTGGCACACACCTATAATCCCAGTGCTAGGGAGGCTGAGACAGGAGGAATACTACAAGTCTGAGCTGCATAGTGAGATCCTGTATCCTATGAATCAATAAACAAAATTTAAATATTAAAAAAATTTATTTAAAAATATTAAATATGCTGCAATGAACACAGCATACAAATACCTCTTTGATATCCTATCTTTGATTCTTTTGCATATATTTCCAGAAGTAGTATTATAAGGTTGTATAGTGTCCTAGTTTTACTTTTTTGAGGAAACTTGATACTATTTTCCATAATGGCTGCCTAATTTTAGACTCTTACCAACAATGCACAAGTGTTCCAATTTCCCTATATCCTCGTCATCATTTGCAATTTTGTTTTCATTTTTGGTGGTTGTGGGGAGATAGTGGCCAATCTAATGAATGTGAGGTGACTTCTCATCATAGGTTTGGTTTGTATTTTCCTGATCACCATGTTCAGTGTTTTTTCATATGCTTATTGCCATCCATCTCCTGTGGAGAAATGTCTATTTGAATTTCTCACACATTTAAAAAATCAGACTTTTTTTTGGGGGGGGGAGCGGGCAACACAAGGGCCTATGTTCATTCCCTGGTTCCACCAAAAAAAAAAAAAAAACAAAAACAAAAACAAAAACCTCAGACTTTTTTATTATTGGGTATATGAATTCTTAATGTATTAGAATATTAACTACTAATCTGACATAATGTAATCATTTTTCCCAGTCTACAGTTTTTGCTTTTTTTTTTTTTTTTTTCCTGAGGCAAGATCTCTCTATGTAGTTCAGGGTTGGCCTTGACTCAACTACGTAACACAGGCTGGCCCTGAACTAGTGATCCTCCTGCCTCAGCCTCCCAAGTGTTTCATGTGCATGTACTGCCATACCTAGCTACTTTAAGACTAAAGTTGTCAGGGCTGGCCAAATAGCCCAGCAGATTAACAGACAAGACCAGGGGTTTGTTCCCCTGGCCTGCTGTGCTGGTCCCACCTCTCAGACATGCTGAGGTAGTGATTGAGACTAGGTGTGGTGGCACGCACCTGTAATATTAAATATGCTGCAATGAACACAGCATACAAATACCTCTTTGATATCCTATCTTTGATTCTTTTGCATATATTTCCAGGACTTGGGAGGCTATAAACAGGAGAATCACTACGAGTCTGATCTAGTAGTGAGATCCTGAATACCCTGTAGACCCTTCCCTAAAATACAGGGGGAAAAAAAAAGACTAAAGTCTTGTTTATTTTATGTTACTTGTATTTGGTATCATTTTAAGAAATCACTGCACATTTGAATGTTACATATGACTCCCTTTATGTTTTCTTCTATGAGTTCTATAGTTTTGGGTCTTATATTTAAATCTTTAACACACTTTCAAATACTATTTTATATCTTTATGCTTTTGTATGTGGGACATTCAGTTTTTCCAGCACTACTAACTGAAAAGATTAGTCTTTCCCCATTATATAGTATTGGTATCCTTGTGAAAGATCACTTGACCATGTACATCTGGGCTCTCTCCCCTGAATTACAGATTTGTCTGTCAACTCTATTTTGACTAGTGTAATTTTGTAGTAGGCTTTAAAATAAGCAAGTGTGGGGCCTCTAGCTCTGTTGTTCTTTTTCAAGTTTGTTTTGGCTATTCACGGTCATATGAGATTCCATATGAATGTTAAGAGTTTTTTTTCTGTATCTGAAAAAATTGCAAGTGGAATTTTAATAAAAATTACTTGTATTACTGGGCATGGTAGTGCATGTCTGCAATCCCAGCACTTGGGAGACTGAGGCAGGAGGATCACTTGAGTTCAAGACCAGCCTGGAACTACAAAGTGAGTTCAAGCCCAGCCTAATCTTCACAGCAAGACCTTGTCTCAAAGAGACAAACAACAATTACTTCTACACTTTGTATAGAATAAATATTTTAACATTAACACTTTTAATTTATAAACAGGAGAAGTCTCATTTATTTGTTTGGGTTTGTCTGGTATTCTCCACTTGTTTCTTTCCTTTTCTTGTTGCTATACAAATATTTGTATAATTGCCTTGCTAGTTTTTTTCAACTTACCCATCCTTGAAGTAGTGTCATATTAAACCCATCTAGTCAAATGCTAAGAAGGAAAGCGCTCCATGACAGTATTCCTGTCTTACTTGCAACCTGTCTACCTTTTTTTTTTTTTTTTGCAGAACCGGGGATTGAACTCAGACGCTTGCACTTGCCAGGGAAGCGCTTATTCCACTGAGCCATCTCCCCAGCCCCTCTGTCTACCTTCTTGAGCTACTTTTGAAACTGGGCATCGTCCTGTCTATCTTCATATAATGAAGGTTTGAGGCATAGTGGAAGAACTCAGATGATACTATGTGCAGGTTTGGTTAGATGTTCAAGGCTTTGCTTACTCTTCTGAGATTGAGTGTTTTTGTTTGCTTGTTTTATTTATTTTTTATTTTTTGCCACAATTTTATTGATAAACAAATAGCAATGAGACAGTTTCAAATCAAATCGGTAGGACAGTTTCAATAATTAACACACTACATACATTCTTCTTAGTGGTTAATTGCTGTACAAGATGTGGACTTGAGATCCTATTTACAAGCACCATTAGAACAAATCATTCTATTCATTAAGAGAATGTAACTATATATCTATCCTAACCACTTTGAATACACAGATACAAAATGGACATTCATCTGTATACCCTTTTTTTGTTAAGTTCCATTATTTGAATATTATAGGTGTGTAAACTCAGCAAAATATTCTAAAAGAGTCCAGTAGCCCATAATAGTATTGGGTCTTCGGCTCAACTGGCAATATCAGAAACTGTTCACCTGAGTCCCCCACAGCTCAACATAACAGCATGGCTTTACTTCTTATATTTCGTTTTTATACTTTTCTACTGGATGGTTAAGACCAAGGTAAAGCAGGACCTATGCAACAAGAGTTGTAGCTTTTGGGTGTGATAAGGTCAGTGAAATCCCCTCAGGATTTATCCTGAGATCCTGTACCTCAGATTGTAGAACCTTTGTCAGTGTCAGTTGCTTGTTTTATTTTTGAGGCAGGGTTTCACTAAGCAATTCAGGCTTGGCTTGAGTCCACTACTGAGCTCAGGCTGGCCTCCAACTCATGATGATCCTCATAACTCAGGAGGATGGGTTTATAGGCATATGCCACCACATCTGGTTGAGATTTAGTTAAATGTCTCCATTATAGGATTTCCTATGCCTAGTAGTCTCAGGAATGCCTTCTAGTTTCATCTGTTTTTGTTTTGTTTTGGTTGTTTTTTTTCTTTGAGCCAGGGTCTTGCCATGTAGTTTGTAGTGGCTTTAAACTCATCATGTATTCTAGGCTAACTCCAAACTCATGGCAATCCCTCTGCCCCAACCACCCAAGTACTGATATCATAGGCATGTGCCACCATGCCTGGCTCTTGTAGTTTCATGAAGATCCTGCCACAAATCATAATGGAACCCTGGAAAATGGCAGCCTCTGGCAGATTTTCATAGTTCAGGTGAGATCCTGGTGGGAGTACACAGGGACTTTCACTTCAGGAGCTTTCTGTGAATTTTTACACATATGCCTAGTTATAGCCCATTTGTTTCTTTGCAAATCTACAGTACTAATGAACATACTCAAGATTCTATCAATAACACCCCTTTCCCCAGTACTCTTTCCTGAGGACAGGCATAATGGAGGCATCCATTTCCTTTCTTCATTACTAATTTGGAAGCTGATGTCATAAAATCATCTTTCTTATTTGACAGCTGTTGCAAACATTTTTGCCAGTTTTTACTCTGCTCTTACTTCATTAGGTATTAGGAAACACAATTCTCTGATCTGTAATTTTATAACATGCTTTGAAATGAGCAAGTGTGAGGACTCCAGCTTTGTTGGCTTCACTCCATCGACTTTATCAGGAAACACCCATCTTTAAAACAGAATTATAGGGCCGGCCAAATAGCTCAGCAGATAAAAGCGCCTGCAAGCAGGCGCAGGGGCAGGGGGTTCGATCTCCAGGCCTGTCATGCTGGCCCTACCCTTGGGGCATGCTGAGATGGCAATTGAGATGGGTGTGGTGGCATATACCTGTAATTCCAGCTCTTGGGAGGCTGTAAACAGGTGGATCACTATGAGTATGATCTAGTAGTGAGACCCTGAATACCCTATAGACCCTTCCCTAAAATACAAAAATAAATAAAACAGAATTACATAAAATTACATTTTGTAGCTGTATTATCAATGTTTAACCAGTATCTTCCTTTGATGATATTTAGATTGAGCCCAAAGTCAATCTAAAAATATATGACAGGGGGCTGGTGAGATGGCTCAGTGGTCTAAAGCACCCACTTAGAACAAGCTAAGCTAAGCAAAACTCAGGGACCGCAGTTCAATCCCCAGCACCACATGCCAGCCAGCCCTGCCCCCTGGTGGGCTGAGCTGGCCACACACACACACACACACACACACACACACAATAAATAAATAAATTAGTTTAAAAAATAAAAATAAAAATAAAAATATATGACACAAGGGTAACAAGTAAAATGCCAGAGCTAAATGAACTTTAAGATATACTTGAAGGTCTGTAATTCTGTAAAATAACAATTATGCCTATACATCTACATAAACATGTATGTTAACCTTCATCTTATATAGATTAATGTGCTGTATTTTGGCAGATTCATACTTGAACTGATAATGATCTTGCTTCAGTGTTCCATGTAGCTGGGATTATGTGCATAAACCACTATACCTGGCCCTCTATATAATTTTTTATAGGTACTTCTTTCTCATTTTAGGCCTATTTATTTATTTATTATTTTTATTTTTTGGTGGAACCAGGGATTGAACTCAGGCCCTTGTGCTTGCCAGTGCTTATTCTACTGAGCTATCTCCCCAGCCCCAGGCCAATTTATTTTATGACTGAAATGATATAGCATGACTTGCCAGATCTATATATACTACTAAAGAAGCATGTATATATTAAAAACAGAATGTAATAAAGAATCTAATTTTAAAAACATTTAGAAAAGTAACAGTATTGTACTTACTCAAAAATACTTGTAAGTTGTTCACTTGGTGCATTTTTTAGTCCAGCCACAACACTCTGTAAGCGGCTGACACTTTGGGTGGCTGAAGCAACAGGAGTAATGACTGTTTCTTTTTCTCGTAAATATCCTCTTCCTGTCAGTGGGGTAGAAGGTGCAAATGATCTTCTCTATAAGAAAAGAAAAATCTGTAAGATTAAAAAATTATCTTCGCTCTTATACCTTTGGTTTGGTATATATAACATATTCTCTACTTACTAATGAGGTTTTTCCCTCCTTTTCTGGATATCCACCACAAAATATTAGCAACAGTATAACATCTTTACATTTGAATAATACTTTTCCAGATGCTTTCTGTGATCTCATCTTATCTTCATAAAAGTCATTTAAGCACATCTATTATCCAAGAACCTAGATAATCCTTGGGAGGTTAAGGCAGTAGGATTGTAAATTTTAAGCCAGGGATGCTGCTGCTTCGTTACAAAGCATTGTGTTGACTCTCCAGTATTATCCCCTGCTATATGCCACATTTGAAACGTAATATATCTATATTTTCATATTACATATGAGGAAACTGGCACAGAGAAGTTAAAAAAACTTGCTTAAGCTAACAAAATTAATGGCAGAGGACGGACTAAAACTTAGGTTTTCCATCTTCTAGATGAGTGAATTTTCAATTAAACATCATCCTCCAACCCATTTCATATGTAAATATAGAATTAAGTCTTAGCCCTTGGCAATCAAGTCTCAAGTTATACGGTAGCAGTCAGAAAAGCATAGTTTGGCCAGCCTGACAGCTCAGCACAGAGGACAGGGTTTGATGCCTAGTGTGCCATGCTGGCCCCACCTGCAGGGCGCACTGAGGTGGCAATTGAAACTGGGCATGGTGGTGTGTGCCTGTAATCCCAGCACTTGGGAGGCCAAAAACAGGAGAATCACTATGAGCCCAATCTACATAGTGACACCCTGTAGACCCTGTTCTGAATACAGAAAAAAATAATTTAAAAAGCACAGTTTATATAAGGGATAATCATGTAAGCTAACTTTTAAAGCAACATAATAGAAGCTTAAGTGAAGCAAAGAAAGAATGGTAGGAGAGCATAAATTCTTTTATTTATTTTTTTTTTAGCAGAACCGAGAATTGAACTCAGGCCATTGCGCTTGCCAGGGAAGCGCTTATTCCACTAAGCCATCTCCCAGGCCCCATAAATTCTCCTTTATGTCAAAAAACATATAATGTTATATGTTTTGGGGAAACAGATCTAAACTATGATTGACAGCAAGAAACACAGTAAAATGCTAAATGCCACAGTTCTAAAAATTACCTTTTCAGGCTTTCATGGAAAATATGAATTAGTAGAAGAAACTCAAAATTTAACTTGAAAGATGCGTCTGCTGTTAGTAGAATCACATAGAGTAAGAAAAAGATCATTCAAGACTGAAGCCAGGCTAGGTAATATTACTTTTTCAAAGTGTTGTTGAAGGTTACATTCCACATTAGCTTGTGCTGTCAGTTTTCCTAATGGGGTGTCACCAGTAAATTTTCGGGGTGTTCCAATTTCCTCATCTGCATCTGCTCCCAAAAAGATCCTCTCATCAAAGTCACCAACAGTTAGAACATATTCTTCATACTCCTTGTTCACTGCTTTGCTGCAAAGAGAATTATTTTAAGCTGTTAGAACAAAACTAAGTTATACACTGGATATTTCAGAATCTATGGCTTGGTAGAACTAAAGACTTTTATACCTGGCTTGCTGGGATTAAACAACACAGATTTGGGCTGTGTTCTAATGACAGCAGAGACATGCCCTGAAGTAGATACTTTTTTCTCTTGTTTTTGTTTTATTTTCTTTATTGTTTACAATTTTACATGAGGGTAAACACTGCTTTTGGTTTTGTTCTGTTGTTCTTTTTATTTTTCCTTTTCTCTTTCACTCCAGTCTTCTTTACCAGTTTCACAAAGTTCAAGGAATTTTCCTTTGTCCTCTAGCCTTGCTTCTAATCTCTTTCTTCTTTTATTTCTCTATTTTCCCCCAACCACTTTTAATTTTCTCCCTTGAAGGTAAAATTCCTATATTGAAGGCATACTTAATATAAATAATTTCCGGGCTTGTTTTAGATTTTGTTATGTAACTACAACTCTTATTCTTATGGTTCAAGGTGGCAAATTAATAGTTACCACATTTTGTAATTTTCTAGGTGGTGTTTGATGCTATTATTGTTACTGATTGTAGCACTTCAGTCAAGATAACCTAATTGTTCTAATCAGTCATTTTTCCTTGTATGCCAAGACTGAGATTGCCTAAAGGTCATAAATAATAGTGTAGGTCAGTGATAAAGAACCAGGGAGTAGGCCAAATAGGCAACAACTTTGTACCCTTAATAGCTTGAAGAGGTGTAATCTTGTAAAAAACTCAAAACCTAAAAACCAGGTACAGTTGGAAGACAGTTCTGACAAGTAGTCATTTGATAAGGGTTTAGTAGTCAGAAAATAAGATAGCTTGTATAAGGGCTAATAATGTAAGCTAACTTTTAAAGCAACATTAGATGCTTAAGTGAAGCAAAGGAATGGTAAGAAAACACAACTTCTTCATGTCAAAAAACACATAATGTTAAAAAAAACACATAATGTTATATATGATTAAACTCAGGTGTTTTAGGGAAACATTCAAAAACAAGAGCATCTCTAACAACGCTAACAATAAAATTACCTTCCATGAATAATTTATAAGCATCAACCCAGGAATTAAAAGAAAGAAAAGAAAATGAGAAGACATGTAAGCAAGATGGAGTCCCAGACTTCTAGTTCACCAAAGGCAAATTCAGGGGAGCAATGATCTGGAACAATCTGAAAACTAACCATCTTTATCCTTTGAAGTAACAGAACAAAGACAAATGAGCCTCTAGAAAAAAATCAAATCAGAAATAATCAAAACAAGAAAGTCACCATAAACAGAGGAGCTTAAAGAAATGATGAAAACCATGAATGCCCAAAATAGGAAAGAAATGGAACACATGAAACAAATTTGAACAGATATCCGGGAGATTAAAGCTACACATCAGGGCCAAGAATATAGCTCATATAGCTCAGCAGTCCAGTGACTGCCTGGCAAGTAGAAGGTCCTGAGTTTGATTCCCATTAACCAAAAAAAAAAAAAAAAAAAAAAAAAAAAAAAGTACACACATTAGAATGAACCAAAATGACAGAATATCAGATCTAGACAATAGGATTTCAGTTAGCAATTATAGAAAGATTGCTTAAAAAGAGCAAAGGACTACAAAAAATCAATTCCAACAACTGGCAGACGATGCAAAGAATAAGTTAAGATTGATTGGTGTCAAAGAAATCAAGATATAGTGCAAGTGAAATTAAAAACAACTGTTCATAGAAGTAATGGTAGACAACTTCCCAAGCATGGAAAAAGAATTTGACATATAGTAAGTGAAGCATGAAAACTCTAATGAGGGGCCTGGAAGATGGCTCAGTGGAATAAGCACTTCCCTGGCAAGCGCAAGGGCCTGAGTTCAATCCCCCATTCTGGGAAAAAACAAACAAACAAACAAACAAACAAACAAACCTCTAATGAGCCATGATAAAAAACTAACTAAACCAAGGCATGTAATAATTAAGATTCCAGAAACTTAAGAACAGAACATTAAAAGCTGCTAGAGAAGAGAAACAAATCACCTATACAAGAAAGTCCATCAGATCACAGCAGACTTTACACCATAAACCCTAAAGGTAAGGAGATCTTGGAGTGCATTATTGCAAGCCCTAAAAAGAAACCTCCTACTCAGATTGATGTATGCCACAAAACTATCTTTCAAAATTTATAGAGAAATTAGATGATACTTTCATGGGCTGGAGAGATGGCTCAGTGGTCTAAAGCACCTACTTAGAACAAGCTTAGCAAAAGCATCAGGGACCAC